TAAATCGATACCAGGGATTGAACTCATGACCACGCGCTTGCAGGCAGGAATAAAAAGGATTTCTGACTTAAAGAAACTCCACTACCAGTCAGCCATAATGCAAACATCAGTGCTACAGGTAATGAGGAGGGGCACTAGATCATTCTGTGCCCTGCTTCCTTTTCCCTAAGAAGGAACCAACAGGTCCTGGAAATAGTCCTAGTAAGCTACATAGAATCACATGTTTCAGGGATGTTCTTTTGCTCCCTATAGTTTTCAGCATCATATAATATCTGTATTTGTCAAATGCTGGCCTGTACTCCCAAATTCATTTATCCCTTAGGACAACCCACGACATAAACAAGAACCTGCCCAAAGCTTATACTTGTTATGTTGCCCAAGCTCTCATATCTACAAAGACATTCAAGGATTCAAGTCCAGGCCACTCTGACTGCAGCAACCATCTACACTCTGACAGCAGATGGCAACTACTTGTCTGACCAAGGAAAGCAAACAGAGTACATTAGTGAACATCAAAATCTCATCTCAGAAAGCTTAAACACCAACTGATACAAAATAAAATGAATAAACAAGTTATTTATGGGACTTCCGGGAGAACATGGTGGATAGATAGCAGCAGCTAAGGAGGCTCTCTGAGATACCCCACTTAGAAACCAGGAATGGGGCAGTGCGAGGAGTCCTAAGCAAGGGGAGACATACCCTGCCGCCCCAGGAACAATCTAAGCTAAGAGAAACCAACTGGAAACGCATCCCGGTGCTCTAACAGGAACAGATAAAATCTCAACGCGGAAGCTGGATCCCGTGCCACTGGAAGCCACACGTTGAATTTCCTGCTACCGCTGCTGGGTCCAAATCCACACGGCAGAGAGAGCCATGGGGGGAAATAATTCAAGCTTTGAAAGATAATAACCTCCAGCCAAGATTGATATATCCTGCACAACTGTCCCTAGAAATTGATGGAAAAACAAGGTGCTTCCAGGATAAAGAGGAACTAGGGGAATTTGCAACCACCAATTCAACTCTACAGAGAATACTGCAAGATATTCTAAAAAAGGAAAATACCAAGATTCCAGAAACAGTGGCAGAGAGGCCACAACGAATGGAGCAGAAAGCAAAATGAAGAAGACAAACTGACAACGAACGACAGAAAAAGATCTCAACAGAAATGAGGCAGAGAAGATTGGATAGTAGGAACAGCTATTTTGGAGAAAACAAGACATCATAATAGCTAGTGCTGATTTAGTATCATCTTGTTTTGAAGTCCCATTAAGCTTTTATTCTTCTGTCTCCATCGATCTTAACAGGTTGTATCTTATTGGATTTTATTATATGTGATAGTATAAGCAAAAACTTTTATAGACAAGGAGATTATAAAGAAACCATTGTTCATTTTCTGATAGTTGGTTCTAAATACCCTGCAATACTGTCATTCTCTTGAATGGTTTTGCACTGTCTTGATATGTTTGGTGCTATAGTATACGAAGTTATACTCAAAGATTTCACTATGGTAACTACTTTTATGTCAGGATATCTTGTGGTGAAACATTATTTTGCTCCAATGGTTATGCTTTGACTTGCGCTGTTTTGTTATGCCCTCTTTTATCTCAATCTCGTTTTAATTGTTTACTTTTTTATCTTTTTAATTAAGGAAAAAATAAACGAAAAATAGCAGGATACATTATAATAACCTACTTTGATTTCCTTTTTTTTTTTATTGGTACCGGGGATCGAACTCACGACTGCCTGCTTGCAATACAGGCGCTTATGCCACTGAGCTAAATCCCCAGCCCCTACTTTGATTTCCTATTAACTTGATTTGAAACCCTGTATTGCCTTCACCATCTTGTTTTGACTGATTTTCCCCTATTCTGCTTTGCTTGATAGTACCAAGTTCGAAAGTATAGGCAACAACTGTGAAGACAATAAGATTCATTATGACACCCATTCTGGTTGACTATTATCTTCTTTTAAAGCCCTGTAATGTCTCCAATGTTTTGGTTTTATTCTTTACTGTTTTGCTCAATTTTGTTATAACTGATGATATAGGCAATTCTTTTTAAGATAGCAAAAGGCATTATGGTAACCATTGTTGACCACCTTGTATTTTGTTTTTACATTATCTATTATGTCCGTCCTTTTGATTTGACTGACTCTGTTCTGTTATGTCACATTCAGTTTTACTCTCTTCAAAAAAAAAAAAGTAATAAGAACTGTGGGAGTAAAAAACCCAAAATGTGTAATTGTCATTGTACAAAAGAAAGGAAAAGAAAGTGCTCTAAAGGATATAACTGCATATATATTTAAGTGTATAGGATAGATAACCATATTACTGAGTTTTGTTGGATCATTGAACAAAACTGTTTGCAGTCTCACTGTTTGAGAGTCCACTTTGTATGCTTTGCTTTTGTGGCTTGAACAACTATTTCTAAGATAACGATATGTAATCTATTAACTAGTGATTTCCTACTGTTTATTCTTTCTGAAATTCTGTATGACTTGTACCCTTTTTCTGTTTGTTTTTTTTTTCTTTTTCTCCTTAAATAAAATTAAAAAAAAAAAAACAAAAAAAAAACTAAGTTATTTAAAGAATATTTGGTTGTAACTGCCAGGAAAAAGGAAAGAGACTGGAATAAAAGCAACAGGAGTAGGGGCTGGGGATTTAGCTCAGCGGCATAAGCGCCTGCCTTGCAAGCAGGCAGTCGTGAGTTCGATCCCTGGTACCGATAAAAAGAAAAAAGAAAAAAGAAAAACAGGAGTGTGGAACAACTGTAGTTTTATGAGTTGAGTATATGAGTTCAAGGCCAGCCTGAAATACATAGCAAGACCCTGTCTCAAAACAAAAAACAAATGAGGTGAGTGGGCCCTGTGTCCACCATTGAGACAAAGAGGTAGGCAGGGGATAGTAGAGGAGTCAGGACAGATGGAGCAGAGAGGGAAAGCTTAGAAAGATAAAAGGGGGAAAAACATATGGGAAGACTGGGTAAACTTGGGCTACTTAGGGATTGTCAGCAAGAGGGCTGTGACCAGCATGTGTTCAGAGAAGAATGTAGAGGAATGCACAGGGACAGACCCCAAGAACATGGTTACACTCTCTATGCACTTGGAGCCACACAGAACTTCCCCATGGTATACACTCAGATTTCATAAAACCAGAGATACCTTCCAAGTGTCTGGCCTTGGCTACAGGAAGAAAGGAAAGACCTTTAACAGAAACAAGGAAGGCTTTCAGCAGCAGCTCTGGGTAGACACAATAAGGTCAATCAGTGTCTGGACACATGGAGATACCTCAGGCAGGACTAATCTTGAGCTGACCCATGAATACAGGTGGTACCAGGAAAAAGGCTAGAGTTGGTAATAATAATATCCTATCAGAATGCAGGCAGGTGAGGTTACAGCCCAGCAGCAGAACATGCTTAGCATGTACAACACCCTGAGTTCAATTCCTAGTAGAAAGAAAAGAAAAAGTAAAAGTATTAGAGAAACATGGACTCACCGAGTGTTGATAATTGTAGGAACTCAGTGTTCATCACATAAGGGTTACTTGTACCACCCTATTTTTGTATATTTTTGAAAACTTTCATAATGAAAGTTAAAAAGAAAGAAATGAGATAGGAAATAGGAGTTGGCTTTCAGGCCAACAGTCAGATGGCTGGAGGCATGCTTTAAATTCAAGAAGGAATTTTAGTCCTATCTTCAGGGTTGAGACCTGTCTCTTACCTCAAGTGGAAAGGTCAATAGTCTACACTAAATTGTCTTATGATGTTCCCACTCGCCAATGTCTTTAGACCACTTAACTTGACAACCTGACATAAAGCTGTGGCAAATGGAATACTGGGTGACAGTTTACAAAGGATGTTAGCTTCTCCAATTTCCACACCCATAAGTATTTGTTCTTTAATTCAACGGACGACTGCAGAAGCCTTACTATGTGCAGCACTGACTGGGGATACAAGGTGAGCAGAACAAATGTGCTACCTATCATACAGGGTGTTAGGAGAAGCTAAAGTCAGATAATCTGCACGTAAACCTATAGATGGTGGCCAGTGCTAACGAGAAAGCATCAGGGCATCTGAGGCGTTTCACATTTAACGAGTTATTTCTTTATGTCAGACACTTGCCGTGAGTGATGAACATACCAGCATGTTCTGGGCAGCAAGAAGTGTTGTGAGGCCTCGAAGTGCTAGACTTGGGAAACGGCTCATTCAGGGAATCAAAGAAAGACCCCTAAGTCCTGGAGATGCCGGGCCCCATCTCTCCACCGCCGCCCAGCTCGTTAACCACACTCCAGTCACCGCCATTCCCTTCCCTTAGACATCCTGCCCTCCTTGCTGCAGTGCAGTCCCTCCATCCAGCCGCAGAACTACAAAGCCCTCCGCGCTCGCTTCTCTATGCTTTTTAGTCCCGCCTCCCCACTGCAGCCCCGCCCAGGATAACGGCTCCACCCTCCCCCTGCAGGAAAGGCTCCCTAGGAAAGGAAAAGAAAAGGCTTCCTAGCCTAGTCTCTTGACAGCGCGCTACCCACCCTCAAATACCAAACCCACACCTCCACTGACACTACGCTCTGGATGTCGCAGTCCCAGCCTTCGGGCTCCAGCAGTCTCACCACCCAGCCGGCTGACCGCTCCCGCACTCGCGCCCTCGCCTCGTCCGGGCCATGGCCCTCCCCACTTCAGGCCAAGCCCCTCACGAGGGCCTAGGACAGAGTCCCGCTCGCTCAGCCCGCGGCCCCGCCCCGGCTCCGCGAACAGTCGCAAAACCCGGCCGGTTGACAGGGTATGGACTCAGGCCTTAGCCCCATCCAAGACACCAGGGCCCCACCCACACCGCTAAATCCCGCCCCGGACGTCACGGCCCCGCCCCGCTGCCCGCAGTCCATCATCCCCCCCCAACATCACGACCCCGCCCACTTCGCAGTCCAGACAAACTTCACGCCCACCCGGCCCTCCACGGTCGTCACGGCTCCGGTACGCCCCTCCCCCTCAGGTTAAGCCGCTCCTCACCAGCTCGAACCGGTTGTTGACTTGGACGCCCTCCTTCCCTGTCCCTCCGGGGAGCCGGACCCCCGGGCCCCGCTTTGGTCCTTCTTCTTCCGCGTCATCGTCATCACGGAGGACAAACTGCAGGGCGCTGGGCCCGAGGGGCTCCTGGCCACGCTGTTCCCCCCTCAATCTCCGGAGGGCCCGGCGCGACATAGGACCCTACGCCTTACGTCTTGAGGGAGAAGGAAGAGCAGCAGTCTAGCTGCTGGCGCGCCTGCGCACTGACGACGCACTAGCAGAGGCTGGCGTGTCGCGTCTGCGTGCTGCGGCTCTCCGGAACTTCCTGTCCGTCACCTGTGGCGTCAAAGAAAGTCCTGGAGCCTCCCGCGAGAGTTGAGCGTCCCCGGCTGACTGCCCTGAAGTGTTTTTCCGGGGTTCTCGGCTCGTAAGCGGGGGGCACAGATGACCATCTGTGACAAGGGTGGCGGGTGGAGAGGCTTAGAGCCAGTCATACGCATACGTTAGCCCCTGGTTCGCAGAGTGCTTCCTAGGGCATAGGAAGGATGCGGAGGACGCAGGGACAGTTTTCGTCTTTGTATAAACAAACACATCTAGCTGGCGTGGTGGCGCACGTCTATAATCCCAGCACTTGGGAGACTGAGGCGGGAGGACCAAGGCACCCTGGACTTCATAGCGACAACCTACCTCTAAAATAAATAAATACATAAAAGCAGAAATGGGGCTGGGGATTTAGCTCAGCGGCATAAGCACCTGCCTTGCAAGCAGGCAGTCGTGAGTTCGATCCCCTGTACGGATTTTTAAAAAAGTTAAAAAAAAAAAAATAAAGCCAGAAACACATGTCCCTAAATCAAGGACCTTCTCCAAATTGCAGGCAGCTGTGCACCCCTCCTCCCCAAGATAAATGGGTCCGAATCTCAGTTTCTAGGAGTTGCAATTCTCTTGAACATATAGGTGTGGGAATTGGTATCCTAAGGTAGAAGTTTGCCACTCTTACTGTGCACTATCTTCTAGAGAAAATTTTACAATAAAGACATTAAATATCCTCCCCCAACTGAGTTGGAGTTCAACTGTTTTGAAAACACATTCCAGGGGCAGTCAGGATTGAGAATTGCAAGAGCAAAATGAACTGGTGTAGGGGTGAGAAGCAGCCTAGCACATGGAATGGCCTACTATGGGGCTAAGCCAGGCCCTGAGACTCAAAAGGACCTGGGTTGCAGTTAGGTTTGAGTCCAGACTGCAGGTGAGGTCCATTGCTGGCCACGCCTGAGATGGGGAGCAGGACAAGGTTGGGTCACAGGATGTCTCCTCACTGATCCTCGCTGCTCTTGTCCCTGGGTTGTACTTTCTCCTGTTTTCCCCAGGAGTGTGGGCTCCACTGAGGCTGGGATGGTGTCAGTGTTGTTCCTCAAGGAATGGTGTGCACTGCTGACCAGAATCATGTGCTCCATGGGGGCCTCACTCTAGTCACACTCAGCACCCACTCTTGTCTGGCCTGTTAAGAAGGCTAGTTGTTGGTTTCTATGTCTGTGTCCCCCTTGAGAGTTGCCTGACCAGTCTACACAAGCCTGTGTTCCCAGGCTTATGGATGGAATCCAAGAAAGTCCTTAATTTAAGGCCTCTTGCCTGGAAATCTTCCCTTCCCCAATAGGTGGTACACACTATGAGGGACACACAAACAGGCAATTGTATGCAAGTTTCTCCCTGGCTGTTGCAGCCTGAGGCGTCAACAAGGAAAGCTGTGTTTGTCCAGATGAGGCCAAGAGCTGTTTCAGTAGTCAGTTCTGCAGCTTGTCTGTACAGCTTGGGGAAAGAGGTGAGGCTGGCACCCCTCAGAGCCCAGAGATATGGAAGAGACAGTTCTTGACTTGTCCTTGGAGTTTGCCCACCAAGCAGTCTCAGCAAGAAGCTAAATAGAAGGCTCATTGCCCCCAGGATATGTTTCCACTGCTGTAAGCACTGACTTCCTATTGTCTAGGGGTTCAGACCTGGTTCTCCCTACTTCGGAACTGTGAGGTGGGCAAGTTGCCCAGTGCCAACTTCTGCTCTGTAAGCTCAGGGAGATAATAGCAATGATGTTTGACATCCAGTGGTGTCTGCTGATGTTTCTACACAGATGAAAACTTTTATTGCGAATGTGTGACAATTCCCAATCATTCCATCCCCCTTATTTTTGGTGTGGTACTTGAGATTAAATCTAGGGCCTCCACTTTGTGCTATTTCCCTAGCCTTTTTTTTTTTTTTTTAAGTTTTTGGTACAGGGTCTCATTAAGTCACTGAGTTCTCCAGGCAGGTATTCAATGTGATTCTCTTGCCTCAGTCTCCCAGACTGCTATCTTTGCACCTCCACACTTGGTTCTCTTTTAAACAGAATAAAAACACAAGAATAAACAGTCTATATTCAAATAAACAGTGGGAGCTGGGTACTTTTATTAGCTGCTCTGATTTTGTGTGTTCGAGTTTCTTGGACTGCAGCTGCTGAGGGTATTCTTTCCCATAGGCCCAACTTAGAATCCTTGTCCTTTGGGGGTCTCCTCCAGCCCTGATGGGCTGAGCAGTCTGGAGTTGACTTCCTGGAATGCACTGCCACATTCCTTCACATACTTGGCCTTAGTTTCCTCATCTGCTAGGAGTGATGCAGAACCGTTCTTTGTGGTGCATGTGAGCTGCAAGGTGCTCAGTGCTAGGGTACTCTCAGCCTGCACCCTTCTGGAACACTAGCTGGGTCCTCTTCCTGAAGAACAGGACTAGGGGGCTGAGAAACCAGACCAAAGGGGACCCAGGCCAGCAAGTACAGCCAGCAGCTGGATCCAGCCCTGACCATGATGACGGGGGCTATGGAGTGGGCAGAGAAGCTGCCCCAAGCATCAGGTTGTGTGTGTGTGTGTGGTGCTGGAGACTTAACTCAGGATCTCTTGTGTGCTAAGCAAATGCTTCATTCCCCAATCCTTGTTCTTAGTTTTACTTTGAAACAAGATCTTAGTAAGTGGCTCAGACAGGCTTCAAATTTGCCATCCTCCTGCCTCAGCCTGCCAAGGAGCCTAACTAGGACTTTGTGGACAGGCATTGGATGCCATGTTCTGTGATGGGCACCCTGACAGCAGTGTTGAAGACTTTTCTGTCCCTGAGGGCAGGCAGCCCCTCAGAGCTGAGCTTCACCTTCACAGAATTTGGGATCCTCCTGCCTCAGCTTCCCACCACAGCTTTGTCCCCAGATGGTCACCATAAGATCGTCTTTATTAGGGTCACATGGCCATGGGCATGACTTTCCAGAGCTGTGCCAGGACCATCTAGTATCCCCAGGCCCCTGGCCTGCAGTGAGGAGCATAGCACCAGTGCATTAGAGGTCCTGGAGGGGTAGGGTGGTAGCGATGTGCTGGCAGAGTCCAAGCGTGGCCTCAGCCTTCATAATGGAGATGTGGGGTGCCTGGCACACCTCCCAGAGGGTCCCTCCCACCCACCTGGAAGCTTCCAGGTGCCTTAGGCCCCCATCAGGAGGCAGAAGCAGGCAGGTTCCCCAACCCAACCTAGATTCCTACCCAGGAAGGGGAAGTGGGCGTATGGTACGACCTGTACCGGTAAGAACTGAGGCAGGGTGTCCTGGAGATTCAGGGTCTGGAATTCCCTGCCCTCCCTTTTCAAGAAAAGGAACACCCTCCATCCCCACCCTCAGGAGTCTTAAATGGGAACAGCCTCCCAGGGGAGGGCCCTGCAGTGGACCTGCTCCCAAATGAGCAGAGGGTAAGAAAACATTATAAATATATAGGCTATATGCATATATTATAGAAAGGCATCTATGTATATATGTACATGCGCAGGCCTGGCCGCCCTGGGCCATTGTCACTGGAAGTCTAGGGTCTGGGTGTCTGGGAGGTAAAGGGACTGGGTCTGACGGCTGCGGCGTGGTGTGGCGTTGAGGGCGTCCACACTCCTTCGGCTGGAGCGGACAACGTCAGCCACGAAGCTGGTGCAGTCGCTGCAGACGTCCTTCAGGACACAGCCATGTGCGTAGATGTGCGGGAACTCTTCCTCCACGCTCCGCCACCGTGGCCCTTGCAGGGACCTGGGGCAGGGGCCAGGAGAGGACCATCAGACTGAGACGCCGCCAGTCCTGTCCTCCCAAATCACAAACGGCCCAGAGTCCTCAGGCCCACAACCGCCCCTCCCCTCACCCTCCACGCATGGGATTTAGAGAAGGAACTCACTAGGCTACTTCCCGGGGCAGGATGAATCACTCCCCTGCCCGCCCTCTCAGGAAGGGGCCTGGCCCCAGCTGCCGGTTTCCTACAAGCCCCAAATGCCTGGACCCCCTCAACAAGGCAAAGCAACACACTGGAAGACCTCTCTCCTCTGCGCAGGCGCGGCCTTGGCCGTGGGTGTCCTCTGAGGACTCTCAAAGCCCAGAGAGTAGACGGGGATGTGTGCACACTTCTTAGAAGGCATCTTCATCTGCAATACAGAGGGAGGTATGGACCAGGTACAAACCCTTGGGAGCCCCACATTCCTGAGGACCCGTGCTCCCACCTTCTCACACCACTGCTGTTTCTGCTCATGTAAGTGACGATTTTTAGAGGCAGAAACAGTGCCTTTTTATACCATAAAGGGCTTGGCATTGTGCCCTGCACACAATCAGCATATGACACTGATGACAGAAGAGTTTCTGTATTGTCGGGGTAGATTATAAAGAAGCCCCAGCTAAAAACATTTTTAAAGCTGGGCGTAGTGATGCACACCTGTAATCCCAGCACTCAGGAGGCTGAGGCAGGAGGATCCCTGTGAGTTCAAGGCCGGTTTGCGCTCCATAGTGAGTTCAAGGCCAGCCTGAACTACACATCAAGACCTGTCTCAAAAACAAAACAAAACAAAAAAAAAAAAAACACAAAACAAGAAACAAAAAACAAAAAACAAACGAGCAACAACAACAAAAACCACTCCATTTTTAAAAAGTAGACCAGCTAGGGCTTTGGATATACTGTGGCACAGTGCCTGCCTGGCAAGTGCAAGGTCCTGAGTTAAGATTTCCGGTACAAAAAAGAAAAGAAAAGAGATTAACCAAGAGACCCTTATAAATTTCACAGTCAACTGAGCATGGTGGCACACATCTGTAATTCCAGCACTTGGGAGGCTGAGGCAGGAGGATCACTGTGAGTTCAAGGCCAGCCTACATCACTTAGTGAGACCCTGTCTCAAAAAAATAATAAAACAAAACAAAACACTTCACAGTCTTGGTAAGTTTAAGAAAGGGTTCCGGAGAAGGATATGGGGTGAGATGGGATTGTGCGGTATATGCACTGGGAAACAGCAGAATGCCTGTCTCAGCTCACAGACTTAAAGCCCCACGCGAGCTCACCTTTATGCTACAGGAAGTGCAGACAGCTCTGGAAAGAAAGGAGGTGGCATGAGTGGGCAAGAGGAGGAAGAGGTAGCCTCTGTCCTCTGTCCACCTGCCCCAGGTGCTGGGCACACCCATCCGCCAACTCTCTTCCTTCAGGACTTGATTCTACTGCAGATTCTTTTGTGTTGGCTTCAATCCAATACACCTCTGTCTCTCAGCTTCCCCCTGAAAGTTTGGCCTGGATCGCCAGATACCTCTTACTACAGAAGCAGAAAGCTCTTGAGACAGTGCTCCATTCTAAGCGTTGATGAACATTTATTATTCCTGCACTCAATTTCAAAAGTAAATGCTTTCCTGTAAAACTTCAAATGTTATGTTAGTTACGATTTAGACAGCCAACTACAGGGATGATCTCTGTTGGCAATACAGCCTCTACTCTCCAGACAAGTTTAAGCATATATTAACAAAACATGCATAATATTTTACAAGTGAAATGAGACACCTTTCAAACTACTTTTTTTTTTTTTTTTTTTTTTTTTTTTTTTTTTGTCTTTTTCCCTTTTCCCCTTTTTATCGGTACCGGGGATCGAACTCACGACTGCCTGCTTGCAAGGCAGGCGCTTATGCCGCTGAGCTAAATCCCCAGCCCCTCAAACTACTTTTTATTTTATATTATTTTGGATTTGTTTTTTTGAGACAGATATCTCTCATGTACTTCAGCCTGGCCTTGAACTCACTATGTAGCCCAGGTTGGCCTTGAAATTATTGAAATCCTCCTGCCTTAGCCTCCCAAATGCTGGGATTACAGGCATGGGCCACCACACCTAGCAGTTTTATCTACTGAGATAAATCGTGAAGTAACTAGTTGAGGATTTATTTTTCCTTGCAGCAGACACACATACAAATTGGAACAGGCTGGTGTGTTGGGTCTTGCTTTGATGACTCATCAGTCTCCCTTGGATTGATGCTCAGTCTGGGACTACTTAGAATTGGAGTTGAGGGGCCTGGGGGTTTAGCTCAGTGGCATAAGCACCTGCCTTGAAAGCAGGCAGTCGTGAGTTCGATCCCCGTTACTGATAAAATGAAAAAGACAAAAAAAAAAAAAAAATTGGAGTTGATTCTGCCCCAGGGAGGCAGGACCTTCCTGTGTGTCCTACTGGTGCCCTGTGAATTATGACATTTTGGTTATGTCTAATAGAAACAAACCCTAGGTACAAGCACTGTTTCTTTAAGTCTTTTGGACGGGATAAGAAAACTTTTTCTGTGAGGGCAAGAGAGTAAACATTATAGGTAAATCTAAAAGTATAACAAGTAAGTGAACGGATAGGATTGTGTTCCAGTGACATTTTATTTACAAAACTGGCAATGGCACCTGTAATCCCAGCACTCAGGAGGCGAGGCATGAGATCACTGTGAGTTTGAGGCCAACCTAGGCTACATAGTGAGTTTAAAGCCAGCCTGAACTGCATAGCAAGACTGTGTCAAAAAGAAAACCAAACAAACACCCAAACAAACAACAACAAAAAACAGGCAGTGAGCCAATGTGTCTATGGGCAGTAGCTTGTCAACCACTAACTTCCTTTCATTAAGCTGCACAGTGGTCCGATGGCTTCTCTGAGGCCAGTCACTGAGGCCCTCTGTGCCTGTCTCCCCTGGAACTTTCCCAGAGACTCCCAGTACTCTGGCCTCTTGCGCACGTGTCCTGGACACTCTTGGTCTGCTTCCTAGCGCTGCTGATGGCCAATGTCTTGAAAACCATTGTTTCGTATCTTTTGGTTTTGGAGATTTGGCTATTTCAGCTGCAGGTTCCTGTTTACTCCATCTTGACTGAAAATGGGAGTTCCTTAGCTATTTAAATTAATTTAAGTAACACCTAAAATTTTAGTTCTAAATACTCATTTTGGCTGGTACCATCGTCTTCTAGGAATTTGTCAGAATGGCTACCACCAAGGGGAAGTTGGAGGCACCTGACATAGGCCCTCCAGGCATCTCAGAAAACATCCTCCTCCATGCAGATCTCCAAGAAAAATGGCACCTGAGAATCAAAGGAGTGAGAAGAAGCAACACTCTCTGCATGCCACCCTGGCAAAGCTGGAGGAGTCAACAGTGTCATTCAGCACTGTCACATTGCTGTCAGCAAATGGGATAAGAGTGAGGCTCCCCAAGAGAATCCATCAAGCTCAGGGGTCAAAGTGGTGTCCAGAACAATGAACAGAAAAAGGGAGCCAAAGAAAAAGGTCCTGGCTTCAATGAAGCCCTGGCCTGCTCCACCCAGAGAACCACACTTTATGAGGACATTGTGTGGTATATGTATATGTTTTGTTATTGTTATTTGTAGTGCTATGTATCAAATGCAGAGCTTAATACATGCTAGCCAAGTGTTTTGCCACTCAGCTACATCCCAAGTCCCTGCGAAAACTACTTGAAAGGAGGTTTCAAGTTCATATCCTTTAATCCCAGCTATTCAGGAGGCTGAGACAGGAAGATCACAAATTGGAAGCCAGCCTGAGCAATGTAGTGCTCAGTGAGACCCCATCTTAAAAGAAAGGGAAAAGGAGCCCAATGCTGCTAAATGTATGACATAATAGGTATAAAATAAGAGACCTTTGGACTGAAAAAGAATTCCACTCCCCACCATACTGAAAGACTCAACATTCACAGCTGTGGTGGTGTGTGCTAAACATCCCTACAATCACAGGGTCTGATACAGCTCCCCACCTCTTCTTACCCCTGCTCACTTGTGGCCACAGTGCCCTTGTGAGGCTCACCTCTTGCAGAAGAGACAGGTGGGTGGCCAGGAGAACAGTGAGAACCGGGCCCGGCAGCAGCAGCAAACCTAGAAGAAAAGACCTGGCTAGAGTGCAGCCTGCTCATAGCCTCGAGTGCAGCTGGCCCTGGCAGCACCCCCAACCCCACCCTGTCCAGGAGCCTCACCTTCCCCCGCTTCAAGCTGCTGAAGAGCTCCTTGTCCTGGACAAACTTTTCCATCTCAGCCTTCACCAGCACGCGGCGCACGTCCACCACCTCCTCCACTGTCAGGGCCAGGCTCTCCACTGGATGGCTAAACTCCTAGGGTGGGGCAGGGTCAGACGGTTGCCTAGCAAGCTCCCCTTCTTCCCAAGAGACCCCAGCCCAGACAGACACCTGGCAACTCCCTGGAATGCAGGCATCATTTTGCCACTTTCTGAGGAGGGTTCCCCATTCCTACAGCCCCACATCCTATCCTAGCCCTGCCAGCCTCCTCCCCTGAACTCCCTTTTCCCATCCCTACCTGCAACACATACCATGGCTGATCAGAGCTGAACAGAGTCCATCTCTAGTCTTCACTCCCCTTGGAAACCTTAAGCCCTGAGCTCCCCTGCCTCATTGCAGACCTGGCCCCAGGGACCGATTCTACATGGGATGCCTCACACCCAGAGCTCTGGGACCTGCCTAGCCTCCTGTTGAGTGATCTTGGTTTTATCTCCCAGGGCTGGCACAGAGCTTGGAGCAGGCTCTTCCTAATTCTTTTTCTCTCTTCTGTGTTTGAGCTCTACTGAGGCAACACACAAAAATCTTTAACATACTGCTCTCTGGTACAGGGCAAGCAGGTGCCTAGGCAGGATAAGGCTGTGGGAATTTCTGGTGTTGGTGGCCAAACTTGTCAGAAAGCATTTCCAAGATGTCTAAACTGAAAAATCACTCAGGGGACTTGCAGACTTTAAAACCTGTTACCATTTCCTCAGGTGGTAGCTGCTCGACATCCCCTCCCTTGTGAGAGTGGGCTGGACTTGGTGACACAACAGTGACATGTGTCCACCTGGGACTTGGTCACAGAATAGCACAGAATAGCACTTTTCCTCTCAGTGACATCAGCTACCGAGTTAAGGGGTCACTTGAGCAAACCCCACAAAGCCATGTGACAGGGCTGAGCCCTCTGCCACGGCCATGCAGGGCAGCAGCCCCCACTACAGCCTCACAGCTCAGAACGGTTCCTAACTCTCAATAATCATGTACGATATTAAGTGTTACTTTAAGATGCTAAATTAGCTTTAATACAGGCAGAAATAACTAATCCAAAGCTAAAAGAGGCACATATCACCCCTCTGGCTGAGATGAACACCGCGTCATCTTTACACAGAACTTGTGACAGGTTTTTCCCCATGTGCGGGCTAACAAGGCACTGGACAATGCCTCACAGCCTTCTCACGCAAACCCAAAAGTCAATCCTCCTGCTTTCCTCGCAGGAGCCAATGCTCCTCCAATCAGTTGTCAATGCAACATTCCGCCCGCCCCTTTAACTCCACCCCTATCAAATTCAAATAAAGTTCATAATTTTTCCAGAGGCTTCCAAAGGGTGCTTGCATCTCTTTGGCAGCCCTACAGTGTCCTCAATAAAGGCCTTTCTTTCTTTCAGTTTTCTCTCTCACACATCTGAAGACCAAACATTTCGTACTCTTCAAAGCATCTAATGCCATCCTTCTCTGAGCCTCTTATAAAGCCCCAGAGCAATGGTGATACTAACCACCACTGACACTTGCACACTCATGAGTGTTCCTGTCACCTACCTGGTGAGAGCCACACACTTGGACTCCAGTCCCCACCTGAAGGAGGTAGTGGGTGTAGGCTCTCAGTTGCAAGGCAGACATAGCTTGCAGCTAATGGGACCAGCACTCTGGTGACCAAAATTAGGTCTCTGCCCACACTCTCCTGCTGCCCACATTGCTCCAGAGTCACCCTGGGACTTCAGTCCACAGCACCTACAAGGTCTTTCGCAGGCTGAGGCCTTAGGGAGGATCAAAAGGCATTGGAGAGCTCTACTGTCACTCACCAGCCACAGGTGCCTGGTGTCTGGTGCAGAGGTGTCAGGTCTGTCTGCAGAACTCACACTGCTGATTGTGGGGGCACCAGAGTCAGACTGGGCCTGGACACTCACAGGACAGGACCCTAGAGGAAGAGCACAGGCCTGAGGAGCCCAGCAGGAGTGCTAAGAGGAGAGCAGCTCCCAAGGAGAAGGGACAGCGTGTGCTTTAAGGTGGAAGGCATGTCTCTGATGGGACCTGTGTAGTTCACCACCTGTTGTTTTGAGCCCATGTTGGAGGCCTGAGATGAAGCCAGCTGCAAGCATGCCACAGGGCACCTCACAGGACTGCCTTCCTCCTTGGGATACTGTCAGGTAGCAGGAGGAGGGATTTCCATGCCAGGTCTCAAGTCTCTGGGAGACTGCAGATGGGAGGAAGCTGGGCAACAGCGAGATTTAGAGCTGGCCTGGTCTGGGCCATGGTGGTTAGGGAAGGGAAGTTTCTCTGGGCAGCTCATGGGCTGACAGAGACTTATATGCCCTGGGGGTGGGTGCCAGCCTTACATGCAGTCTAGGGGAACTCCCTGCATGGCCGTAGACACTGTGTAGTACTCAGCTCCCTGTTGAGAAAGCAGCAATGGAATGGCCACTGGTGATGGGTCGGGTTCTGGTGTGGACACCCTACTGGTAGGGACTCTAGTTCCCATAGAGAGGAGAGGCCTAGCCAGTGCCTGGCACTTGCTCCCGCCTGCTTCCCAGTGTGGCAACAACAGTGATCCCTGAGTAATGGGAGTGAGGGGTATAAGTTACTCAGAGAACCATTTACAGTGAACATGGGTGCTTATTTAGTAAAAAGGTTCTCCTGTGGGAAGGGCTGCACCTGTCTATGGTAGAGAGGACCATGTATCCTGCCTGCCCAAACCCCTCCCACCCCAGCTGCTGCTGCTGGCCAGGACCCATAACCCCAAAGAGGCCATGGGGCCATGGTAGCATCTGAGGGGAGGGCAGTTGGGGTGCAAGGTGCACTTGCCCTGGTCCCAGGCAGTGGGCCTCCAGGTGTGTGTGCTGCCTGCCCGTGGCTGGGGCAGTCCTGTCCCTTCCCGGTGGGGAACAGCTGGCTGCAGGCCAGAGGCCACCTCACTCCGTAGCTGGGCCAGGTCATGCTCGGAGAAGGAGCGATCCCGTTTCAGTGTCACTTCTCCACACGGAGACTCCTCTTCCTGCAGACAAGTCAGACACAGCCCACCCTAACCATGCTGCCCCTACATCCTGATTTCCTGGACTCAGGCCGCTACTGGGTCTAGAATCCTGGGCTGTCCTCCCACTTTTCTTCTTTTGTTTTTAGTGTTATTGGAGATTGAACCCAGGGCCTTCCCATTGAGCTACATTGCCAGTCATTCTCTTATCTTTTTCTTGAGACAAGGTCTTCGCTAAATTGCTTAGGCTAAGCTTGAACTTGTAGTCTTCTTGCCTAAGCCTAGCAAAGTACTTATATTATAGGTGTCTACCACCATGTCCGGCTCTGCCCTCCCATGCCTGGACAGTTTGTGGCAAATGCCTTAATGCCCAAGCCATCCATGAGGCCTTCCGGAAGGACCAAGGTAGGACAGACCTGGTACAGGAGGAGGCTGAAAGATAGCTGCCACCAAGAGGTGGGGAAGGCAGCACTCAGCAGCCATGGTGGCCAAGGGGCCCCTCTGTGACTACCTTGCCCTCCAGCCAAGGGGTGCTCAGCTGTCTGGCCACAGAATGAGGGATCATGTCTATGTGCAGCTTTCTTTGGCACACCTATGAGAAGAGCTAGCCCCAGGCCATTGGTTGAGTATCCCATGGTCACTTCCAATTGCTGAGAGGGCTTGCCTGGCTCTCTGGCTTTGCCAGTACTTCTTGTCCCACCCCTGCTCTGCCTCCTTAGGGTTTTCATGCCTCTGACCTCAGAGATATTCATCTCCTCCATCTCAGCCAGTGTGGGTGCCTTGAGCAGGACCCGAGGCCGTGGGTGCCGAATGCCACTTCCAATATCCGTGACAGACAGGTTGGTACAGGAAATAGTCATGACATCCCCAGAGCAGGCGTTGAGGATGCAGGGCAGAGAGCCAAAGCCTGCAGTGGACAGAAGAGTGAGCAGGAGCCACAGCTTTACATGCACCATCGTGACAGAAGGGGAAACTGAGGCCAGTCAGCCATTTAACTCCAGCCCGATGGAGGAAACCACCCTACCTCCCAGAGGCAGAGCAGAAGTGGGACTGGAGTTTTTCCTCTATTCTGCAAGGAAGATCAGGTTTTCAACATCTGAATAAATGCTTGGTTTTCCCCACTTAAAAACACTGCTTTATTTTTTCTCTCCTAAATGCTTAGATTTGTCATTTGACTGTGCAAAGTACAAAATAGCAAACTCAGGTCAAAGACTAGAGCACAGGACCCCTTCCTCCTCACCTGTCTCTCACTAAAACTTTACAAGGGTCCTGGTCTAACCCTGCAAAACTACAATGTTCCAGATCACCCATGGCCACAGGAGCTCATGGGGTTGACATCACCCCAGGTCTGGGACCTGGCCAGGGGAAGTACGGGCCCCAGCAGGCCCGCATAGGGGGTTATCTCCCTCCATCATGCCCTTCCCTTGCCTACCTCGAGTTCCCAGGTGCTGGGCCCCCACAGGCCGCAGCCTGCGCTCCTGCTTGATCTCCTCCAGAATCCTTTCATGTAGGGTCCTTTGCTTCTGTGGCAGTGGGCGAAGCCGGCGCTCAGAGACCTGTAAGGAAGTGTGCACCAAGGGGCAGGGGAAAGCAGGCGATGGCAGGGACCTACCTGGAGTCCAGGGCACTCAGTATCATCCCCACCTGCTGGGAGGGGGTGCTGCCCTGGGGTGTAGTGGGCACCTGTGCCAAAACTCTTCCTCCTAGAGAAGACCCCACACACACTACACCAGGCCATGCCATGCCAGAGCCAGGACCAGCCTTCCAGCCTGTGGGCCAGAGAGCCAGGCAGCCTCCTGTGGAAGCAGAGGGCAGCACCAGTCTCCAGGTCCTCTGGAGGTGTATGTGCTGAGCCAATACCTGTTTCAGAGGAGGCCGGGAGCGGATGAAGTCCAGGATGAGCTCGTGTGCATCTTTCTTCACCCTGGGTGGGATGTCCCCATCCACCTAGAGGTAGACCAGAAACAGGGCAGCTAGACTGAGGACCAAGGGTTTCAAGGTCCTGGTCTTCATACCAATCCTCTGTCTCATGGCTCTGAGACAGGTATATAGCAATTAAGATGGATGCAGCATCCCCAAGTCAATCACCCAAGCCTCCTATACCTTAGATTTTTCTAGAAGTGTGGCTGGGAGTGCCCACCTCACAGGGCTGTCATGTCAATGAGGGGGAGTGGCCCACTGAAATGCTAAGAAGCTGGGTCTGGTGGTCTATGTCTGTCATTCCAGCAATCTGAAGGCTAAGGGAGGAGTGAGGCCAACCTAGACTACCTGTGAGTTCAAGGCCAGCCTGAACCATATAACAAGACCCTATCTCAAAAAAAACAAAAAAACAAAAACAAGGGCTGGGGATATAGCTCAGCGGCACAGCACCTGCCTGGCAAGCACAAGGCTATGAGTTCAATTTCTGGTACAATAAAGGTGGGGTCAGGGGGTTAGCTCAGCAGTATAAGTGCCTGCTTGGCAAATGCAAAGTCATGAGTTTGATCCCTGGTACAAAAAAAAAAAAAAAAAAAAAAAAGACAAACAGACATAAAATGCCAAGAGCCAGTACAGGTAAAACATATAAGATGCTGCAGTCTTGTCTGAGTTGTCCCCTCAGGGCCACCCTGGCCTTCCACAACCTTCTCCCTGCCCTTGTCACTGTGCTCCCCATGGGACACAGAGCAGCAGAATCAGGGCTAGCCTGCCTGTCCCTACTCCATGGCCCTTGCCAGCCTCGGTGAAGCAAGAACCATGCAGGCTCACCATAACCTTGCGCAGCTTGTAGTTCCTGGCACGGATATCCTGCATCAGCATCTCAAAGGGCGTGAGCTGGAACTCGGTGGGCAAGGAGTTGAACTCCTGCTCCTGTACCTTCTTAAGTTTCACACCATGGCGAAGCTCTCGCATGAGCTGCACCCACAGCCGGGCCTGGCCCAGAGGAAAAAGAATGGCTGTCAGCCCACAGGTACCAGGCTGCCTAGTACTCAACCTGGGTGTGGGCAAGAGAGATGCATCTCACCCAGTCTGTGTGTCCGAGGTTGTCGAGCTCAGCGAGTGGTTTCTGTGTCTGTGGCTCATCCTCTCCCAGCCTCTGCAGCATCTGGAACCATACAGCTGGTTAGTCTAGTGAGGTGGGAAGGTATGGCCCCTGCCACACGGATGCTGCTCAGCCAGGCACACGGGACATGCAGGTGTCTCGGCCCCAGCATTGAGATTCAGAAAGACACCCAGGGAAACAGAGAGATACCCAGGGAAAGCAGTGTCTCCATTGGAGCCATACAGCATACCTGGTCACCATTCTCTGGTGGCTAGTCTTGGGCAGGGGCCCACTCCCAGGGGCCCATGTCCACCAGGAGGCGCTGTGTCCCCATGGCACATGAAGGCCTAGGAGCACTGCCCACCCCGCCCCCTTGCAGTGTTTTCCTGCAGATCTCAGCTCTCACAGACTTTCCCACCCTCTTCTCATGCCCACTGCGCCTCCACACAGGATCTCAGCCAGGCACAGGGGACCCACATATGCCCTGTGGAGGTCAGGGCCAGCAGTGGTATGTGCCAGGTCTGCAGACATGAGCTACAGGAAAGGTGAGTGGGCATGGTTTACCAGCAAGGCCTAGGAGTCATGGTGACAGGGTCACAGAGTGGGTCCCAGGGACATCAGGCTGACTGCTCTATGTGACATCAGAGAGACACTGGACTTTGTGCCTTAGGTGCCCTAGATCTTGTGGCAGCCCAGAGCCCCTGTTCCTCTAACCCATTCAGCCAAGACATCTGCCCTTCAACACTAGGCCACCCCCACCCCATTAAGACAAAGCCAGGTGCTCTGGCATCATCCCAAAGCCCCTGGCAAACTGCCCTGGTGACCTTGGCAACACAGAGCAGCAGAAGGTGTGGGATTCTAGTAAGAGTCCCTGTGGGCATGAGCCGACTCCTGTGGCAATAGGCACAGGTACCTCCCAGTCTGTCCAAGTCCATATCTAGCCCTATCAGGCCACTTCATTCAAAATGCCCGCTGGGTGAGCATACTTTTCATGCTAACTCCCTGAACATTGGAATCTATGGCTGCAGTGCATCTGAGAACCCCTGCTCATTAAGAGCCTTGTTGTCTGGACTACTAAAGTAAGAGCCCCACTGTCTAGGCAATGATGTGCTCTGCTGAAGGAGGGGGCCCCTTGACCAGATGAGAATGCTGTGTGACCTGGACCTCTGTGTATCTCTGGGCCTTGTGGGATAGGGCATGGGTGAGTCAAGGCCTGTGCTGTCCTGGGTGGGTCTGAGTAGATTTAGGTCTAGGTGTCCTCTACCTGTCAGCATCTGGGACAGTGTGAGTCAGAGTCTGTATGGACTTACACCTCTGTGGTTCTAAGTCTCTGTGACTCAAAGCCTGGTGTCCTTGAGCCTGTGTGGGTTCTGTGGCCAAGAACTGTGTGTTTTTCGGCTGTTGGGTCTACACCTGTTTGGGGTTGGGCCTCCCTACCCTTGGCCTGTGGGGTCCGGCTTGCATGCATTAAAGTCTATGTGAGCAAGGCCTGTATGCGTCCAGGCCTCTGTGCTTCTGGGCCTGTGTGCTCATCAGATAATCTGGGTTAGGTTCTGTGGCCTTGATCCACCCTCAGTGCTTCTAAGCATCTATGAATCTGGTCCTGTTAGGGTCTGAGCCTGTGTGGTTCAGATCCCACATGGGTCTGGTCCTGTCAGAGTCTGGGTATGCTTGGTGTTACAGTTGATACATTATATCAAATTGAGCAGTTTAGAAGGAGCCAGAGTTCTTACTTTGTAAAAAATCCTCATCCTGTGCAAAGGAGGGCAAGATTTTGTGAGTGCTACAATGTAATGGAGAAGAGGCTTGTTTTTCCTCTTTTGCTCTGGCTACTCCCCTGAAGTGTTGCCCCATGCCATGCCACCTTACCTTAGAGCCAGCTGATTATAGACTGAGACCACCACAATTATTGAGATAAATAAACCTTTCCTTCCTTCATTTTGGGTGTCATGTGTTTTGTCCCAGCAACAAAAGTAACCAAGGCAGAATTTGGTAGCAGGAGTGGGGTTGTTGCTGTGACTATATCTGGACTATGTGTTTCAAGAGCTTTTGAGAATGGCTTGTAGGAAGAGTTTGGAAAGGTTCAGAGATATCACCTGAAAGAATAGCCCTGGAACAGCTTTCAGCTGTTTTGTATGGTTTTCTGAACAGAGCTCAGAAAACCAAAAGGCTGATAGAAATTCTGCTGGTAAAGACCAGGCTCAGGAGGTTTCTCCTGGGAAGGACTACAACAGTTGTTGGAGTCCAGATGATGTGTGTGCTGGCCTGGCAGAAAGTCTGTCTGCATTTTGCTCATGTCCAGAGACTTTGTTTGAGACTAAGATTAAGGGCAGTGGACTCCTTAACCTGGAAGATGAAAGTTCAAGGCAGTCAAACATTGAGATGATGGCATGGCTATTGTGGGGGGTTTTAGCCAGATTTATGTTGTGAATCAAGAGCAAAGAGCCCAGCAGAGCAATTTAAATCATGAGTTTGGCCAGACAGAAAGCACCAGTAAAACCTTGGACTGCAAAGATAGAGCTGAGACCTTGATTGTTGAGAAGAAACAGAAATAAAACAGATGGCCTGGGGGCATCCAGGGAAGCAACCAGTCTCTATTCTTTGTAACCTCAAAACTGCAAAAGTGGAAGAATTTGCTTGGAGGAGAAAGCTGCAGAGCACCACGTTCCAGAGTAGTGGCAGAGACCATAGGATGTTCCAAAATGGCAGTGACATAGAAAAGCTGTTCATCACAATCAGGTTCAGAGTGCACAGCAATCTAAGCACATGAGGGCCAAAAGAGAGGAAAGCCTGGCTACTGCTCCAGTTGGCAGCAGACCTTGGCATCATCCACATGGTGCTGGTTTTAGGCACATGGAGAATGCATGAGTTCAGAGGTTGAAAAGACGTTCATCCCAATTTCAGAAGGCCTAGGAGGCCAGGCAGTGCACCCCTGAGACAGCAATATGTGAATCTATGAGTATGCAGCCAAAGGTCCAGTGGAGACCCCAGAAGTTTGGAAAAGCCAGGAATGTGGATCATCTAAGAAAACTTACAATGAGGGAGGAAAGCCAGCCCAAGAGAGAAGCCACGGGATAGGTGATCATCAGAAAGTGCCATAGAAATGAAGTCACATAAGCGCTTTGGAGCTCACAACTTGCCACTGATTGCTTCAAATGGTACACATGGAACTACAGGACTTAATGTTTGCCTGGCTCGATTTTGAACTTGCTTTGGTTCCAAATCCTTTGTATCCCCTTTTGTATCTTTTGGAATGGCAATGTTTATCTTGTGCCATTGCATGTTGGAAGTGTTTAATTTTGTTTCATTTGTACAGGGGGTTGTGGCTAAGGTTTGCCTTCCATTTTGGAAGAAATTTGGGACTTGAACTTTTCAGCAACTGTCAGGGCTTTGGCAACTCTTGCAGATGGACTAACTACCTTTGGCCTAAAGGATGTGCCTGTGTCTTTGTGGGGCCAAGGACAAAATGTTATGTTTCTAATGTAATACAATGTTGATAGACTTAATGCTGGTTCTTAAGGATTGTTAAACCTGTGATATAATGTTCAAATTGGGAAATGGTAAGAATTAGCATGTCTTGGTATCTGGAGGCTGGTTTAAAGAAGTATGTCTGTTTGCCACATAGACAAGGGGTGGATTGCTATGGTTCACACAATGTATCAATTGTTTAGAAGTTTAACTGAGAGATTCTTCTTACTTTGTAAATATCATCATTCTGTGCAAAGGAAGACAAGGAGATTTTGTGAGTGCTACACCTGCCCTGAAGGAGAGGGATGGCCTGTGTACAGTATAAGGGAGGAAAAGAAACTCGCTTTTCCTCTTCTTGCTCTGGCTGCTGCCCTGAAGTGTTGCCCCATGCCATGCCACCTTGCCTTAGAGCCAGCTGATTATAGACTGAGATCACCACAATTATTGAGATAAATAAACTTTCCTTCCTTCATTTTGGGTGTCAGGTGTTTTGTCCTAGCAACAAGAGAAAAGTAACCAAGACAACTGGTTTGGGCATGTGCTTTTTTAGGCCTACTTGGCACTAGGTGCTTGTGTGGTCAGAGGCTTAGTCTTGGCCTCCCAGGAGCTGACCGGTGTGCTTCTCAGCAGCTACGGTTTGAAGTGGGGGGAGGGTGCACAAGTACATCAAGCACAGTATTTCCAGGATGGAGTCTGGGATGCTGGGGCAGAAGCTTGGTGCTCGCCCTCTTTCTCTTACAAGTGAGGTTAGGGATGATAAATAACACATTGATGTGGAGTGTTGATTGGAAGGCAAGAGCTGGGAACCCATTATTATGGACCCTGGGCTTCCATTCCTTTCCTCTGGAAAGCTGTTAAAAAGGAGGTATGAGGCCAGTGCTTGAGGCTTTAGCACTGGGCTGCCCAGAATGGTATCCTGTGATGGAGGCTGCCTCACATTGGGCAAATGAAAAGGTGGACACAGCTGCTGGCACCAATGCAAACATCAGCAGAAGCCCCTACCCGCACCCTAGGCTCCATGCTGCCCTCCACACTCCTCGTCCAATATCACTCACCTCCTTGGCCTCACGGACACGGGCTAGGAAGGCACGCAGCTCCAGGGTCTCCACAAAGAGAGCGCGACACACAGCCTGATAGTGGGCCTGTGCACCCTGGGGGTCGGTGAGGCGCGCTGCACATAGCCGCATGGCCTGGGCAAAGGTGCGCACAGTGCGGGGGCTACCTTCGGCCACCTCCTCCTCCTCCTCAGGACCCCCATAGCCCTCATCTGTTGCCCCACAGCCACTGTCATCGCAGTCGCTGTTGGCCATGAGATCGATGAGCTGCTCCAGCTGCGGGCTGAGCTCCCGCTCCTCGCTCTCGTCCAGCCCCCAGTCCAGTGCACGGTAGATGGCAAAGCAGAGTGATTGCACCATCTGTGGGACAGGGACGGTATCACAGTTGACACCCAGCCAGGGGTACGCAGGCCAGAAGAGGCTGGTAGAGGGCAGTGGCCACAGCCCAGCTTCTCAGTGACACAGAAACAGATACATTGTGACACCCAAAGTATATCAGTCACTTGGAGAAATAGCCTGAAGGATTTTTTTTTTTTTTGTATTTTAAATCAGAGTCTTGCTATGTAGTCCAAGCTAGCCTGAAACTCAAAAGTTATCTTTCTGCCGCAGCCTCCCGAGGGCTGGAATTATAGGAGTATACTACCATGCCCCTCTGCTGGCAGATTCTTACAATCAAAAAATGCATCTACCACCTGACTCAGCATCCCCTCTTCTAGTATTTGCCAGAAAGAAACACTCAAACCTGGAAATAGTACAGGCATTCTTTAGCTTGTGGGTGTAACCATGGCAGGTGTCTACAGAACAGGAAAAAGGGACAAACAAGACTATGAGTCATACCACTACCCAGACAGAGGCAGAGGAAATGCCTGCTTACTGCGCAGTTTTCTTTACATGAACCTCTAAGCAAGAGGAACCTAGCCAAAGTGACAGGGAGAGGCTGGCTGCTCCCTGAGTAGGGGTGGGGTAGGCAGGAAAGTTCCCAGGTGACTTCTGGTGACCGGGCAGGTCTGTCTAGACTCTGGTGTCAGTGGCATGGTATAGGTCACAGGAAAGCTGACTAGAGGAGTCAGATACCCTGAAAACAGCAGCTTCACTGTGTCATAGCCATTTACCCTGAACCGAGGAGGAGAAGGGCATACGGACCGCAGGCCTCACTCTCACTAGAATCTGGATCCCCTATGTGGGGTGCTGGGGTAGGCCAGGGACATACCACACAGGGCTCTGTCTCTGAGCCCCAGCATGTCTAATTGCAGACATCCCCAGAAGTGGAGGCTGAGGTGGGGCTTAGCACCTGTCCCCAGGTTCATGAGGCAGTCACGGGGGTGTGCTAGGGCACAACAGGACCCCTCGCCTTCCTCCTCTGTCCTTCCCCACCAGCTATGAGGTTAGTAGATTCCCCACTGTTGCCCTACCTACGATGTCCTGTGCCACCACAGGTCCAGCAACAGGGCCAACTGGTCACAGCCCAAAAGCTCCAAATCCGTGAACCACAGCAAACCTTTTCTCTTTATGATGACCTAAGGTATTTGTTACAGTAACAGAAAGCTCGTTAACTCTTTAGGTCATAAATTTAACACTTGTAAAATCTGACATCTCATTGCCAGGTGTGGTGTACACCTGCAATCCTAGCACTTGGGAGGCTGAGACAGGAGGACTGCTATGAATTTGAGGCCACCCTGGACTACATAGCATGTTTAAGGTCAGCCTGAATTACATAGCTAGACTATCTCAAAACAAAAACACCCCAATATCTCAGCTGGGGGTATGATGGCACATGCCTCTAAAGTCCTAGCACTGTGGGAGGCTAAGGCAGCAAGATCACAAGATTGAGTCCAGTCTGGTAATGTAGTGACTTAAAGACAGTCTCAAATAAAAAATTAAAAAGACAGGGAATGTGGCCCAGTGTGAAGGCCCTGGGTTGAGTTCCCAGTTTAAAAAAAAAAAGAAAAAGATCTCACATCCTTTAAAATACTTGTAATTTTTAAATGTACATAAACCTAACCTGCATGGGAGGTGAGAGGATTCCGACACACCCAGGGTGTGGGTCAGGACTCGGCGAACCATGGGTTCAGTGCTGAAGGCCCACAGCACCATTCTGTTTGCTACATATACGCTTAAAGGTCTCCTTAGTTAAGTATTTGTAAGTAATTAAAAATCTGTAAGGTCTCACAGTAGACACCCCTTGACTCAGTATTTCTCAATTTCTTTTTTTTTTTTTCCAAGACAGGGTCTCACCATGTTGTCCAGGCTGCTCTTGAGCTCGCTCTGTAGCCCAATCTGGCCTCAAACTCATGAAATCCTCCTACCTCCGCCTCCCAAGTGCTGGGATTGCAGTGTGCACCACCACATTTCGCAACATTTCTCAGTTGCACTGGGAGGGATCCTGTTTTGCTCTGGAACCAGGGTTCCCTGCAGGGCCCTACCAATGGTATCAGTTTATACCAAATGTTGCCTGCAACCTGAATTTCCCAGACCTACCCACACAGCTCCCTCAGAAGCCCAGGTCCCCCTAGTTGGGAGCACGACCTGGCTGCCCATGCAGCTGAGTGCAGGGCAAGGCCACGATCCTGATTAGCATGGCGCTGTGTATTTCCAAGGTTCTCACACTTTCATTTTGGGGGATACTGGAGACTGAACCCAAGGCCTCTCTACTGAGTAACATCCCCAGCTATTTTGAATAATTTTTCTTCCAGTACTGGGAATCAAGTAAATAATTTTTTATATTTTGAGACAGGGTCTCAGTAAGTTGCTGAGTTGTCCAGGTTGGGCTCAGAATTGGGGGGTTGAGAGTGAAGCCAGACGTGGGGGGAACACCAGGCCAGGTGTCACACTTTCCTTCCACAGCAAGAGTAGGAAAGATGCATACACACAGGATATCAGCTCTCATGTACCAGCCACCTTCAAAGTCCTTTTCATAACTCATCTGCTTGGTTGGCAACAACCCACTGACATGGCCTCCCTTCTTTTGGTAGAGGACTGAAGCTTGGGGACATGCATCCCTGGGCCATAGCTGGCAGCTGAACGATAGGTCTGGGTATTGTCTGTGCCACCCATAACCTCTGTGCCTTGCTCCCAGGGCAGCAGCATTGTGTGGCTGCTGGAGCCACAGCCTCTTTTGGGTACTGTCACTTCCTGAGTGCACTTACTGAGTGGCCTCTCCTCTCATTTCCTGGGTCCCTACAACCAGGAGCCTGAGCTGGGAACAGCAAGCACAGATGGTGAGAGCTGGCTCCCAGCAGAGGAAAGGCTGAAGCACAGCCTGTGTCCTTAGACTCGCCAAGCAAGACTCTAGCCTGGGCTTGGGAGGTTGCAAGAATGAGACAGCTGTGGGAGCAAAGAGCAAAGGCCACACCCACTTATCTCTGTATGGCTGACAAGACTGGGGTGGAGGTGGGTGGGGGGTTCTGCTCACACCCTGGAATTAGAGTCAGAGGCCTGGCCAGGGTGGGGTCCTTGGGGACAGTGTGGCTCCTGGGTGTCACAATGGCAGGAAGCATGGCAAAAGCCACAGGTTACACACATCCACATCCCTTCTCTTTTTTCAGGAAAAAGTGAGGCTAGGGGCTGGGGATTTAGCTCAGTGGCATAAGCGCCTGCCTTGCAAGCAGGCAGTCGTGAGTTCAATCCCTGGTACCGATAAAAAGGAAAAAGACAAAAAAAAAAAAAAAAAAAAAAAGTGAGGCTAGGGTTAGGTACAAGGAGGGATTTCATACCCTCCCAGGTCTGCTGCAGCTTTGTGCTGACCCTAGATATATGGCAGAGCCACTGGGCATGGCAGTGGAGATCAGGCAGGAAAGTGCCCACTGCCCTGATACAGCCAGGGCCTGGCCACCATGCCCCTCTTCCTTGCCACTGGCCTGAGCTGACCCATGAGAGAAAGGCTGATTCACGTCCAGCTATCTGATAGCTGACAGTTCTGTTGGTGAAAGTGCTCTTTTGCCTAGTCACAGGAAACTCTCTGAAAGGCACAAAATGCTTCTTTCATATAAGGACAGGTCTGGGCAGCTAGCCAGGCTTGGGCCCCTCGTGTGGCCTGCAAACTGTAGCTCCTGGCTACTCTGGCTTTGGGTGGCCTGCAGATATAGCCAGCCCTGTAATCTGCTGGAATCCAGAGACTGGGTGGCATCTCCTGGAGCCACGCTATCAGAGACAAATTTAGGAACTAAGCAGAGCCCCTGCCCTGCTTCCTAGAGGTGGGTTCTCAGGTTCACTTGTGGATCTTCAAAGAATGATCCAGATAGCCTCCCTCTGTACAAAATTCCCTATAAATGTTTGTAAAATGCTAACAACAGGGACCCTTTGAAAAAGTCTTCATGTGGCAGGCAGTAGCTGAACCTCTACTTGGAAACTCTGGAAAATAGATTCCAGCTGACTTTCCTGCTCCAGAAACAGGACTTGGGAAAAAAGCTTTCTGGAATATTATGCAACAGTGGAAAAGGATGACTAACGGTCACAGAGCAAAGCAGAGGTGTCTTGGGAACACAATCATTTCTCCTCCAAATCCCCAGAATCTATATATTGAACAATACCACTTTCCCAGAGCTCACAAGCAATGATCGGTGTTATTTACATTCCATATTGGCAGAGATATCTTGTCACTGGCATTGTTAGGAATCTTGGGTGGTGAAAAAAGGCAGCACAGAGGTGGGGGCTAACTTTACCACTTAGTTTCTATGTCCCCAACAAGAATCATATGTCTACTTTTGGTTGTGCCCATCTCCACGCTTGGCATGGCACTGTTTAATGGACAAGCATATATAAGCAGGTTTTGTAGTAAAACTGTGATTTTCACAGTGGAGGTCAAACATCAGGCTTACAACGTCGGCTGGAGGCAGGTGGATGGTAGAGGAGGCACAGGAAGACACAGTACTAAGGCCTGGGCGGGGTCCTGGGTCTGGGTCTGGTTTTCCTGTCTGCCCCTAAAAGACACTCCTGCCCAAGCTCTGTGCCTAACAGAACTGTGCCCTCATCTCTTGGTGTAGGACAGGGATCAGGGACCAAGGAAGCCCTTGGGGCCTTTTCTCTCATCCTCTGCAAATGGGTTCTCCCACAAGCCCCTCCATTAAGCCCCTCCACTGTTTTACCTGTGTCTTCCTTGGTGAAACAACTTTAACTTTACAGCTTACATTAAGCAGTCCAAGTACATTTTACTATGTACCAAGTCAACTCTTAGATTCTGGAGGGCGGATGTGGTATACTGGGAGGCTAAGGCAGGATGATCACCATGAGTTCGAGGTCAGCCTGGGCTACATAGTGTTCAAGGTCAGTTTGGACCGGACCACCTAGCAAGACCCCATCTCAAAAAAAAAAAAAAAAAAAGCCTCTATATCCGGGTGTGTACATGGAAGCCTTAGATCTGAAGCCAGCCTGGGCTATACAGCAAGTTGAAGGCCAGCCTGAATGACACAGAGAGACTCCGTCTCAAAAATAAATAGATAAAATAAATGATTTTAAGTACCTGGGCTTCTGAGCTGGCTGGCAGCACCACCATGGTCGTGGGCTCTGCAAGAGAAGACAGTGAGTCAGGCTAGTTGGCAGCCCCAGACCCCCATATACCGGGCTGCCTGCCATTCTCGCAGCTCCTTTCCCTCAGCAGAGCACAGCACCCTCAAAGTCTCCAAAGGAGCAGCAGAGGGGCTGGGAGCAGCTTGAGACAGAGCACATGCAAAGCTCTAGGGTTGGTCTCTGGGACCCCCACCCCAGCCCCAAAGAGGAACACGGGTGACACAGGCCCAGCATGAGCTAGCTCTGGGCAGGACCCCTGGGTCTAGGGACTGAGAATGCACAGCTCCATGCCATGGAGAGCTGATATCCCCTGGCATGTGAGGCTGGGTCAGGTACTGAGGGCACAAGCCCTGGCCACTGGCAAGGCAGGCTTTGCTGGGATAAGCCACCCTGACAACGGCCCGCCCCTTGACTGGGCATCTCCCCCAGACGAAAGCAAGCCCTCAGGTTGGAGTGTGAGGGTGCCTGACCCTGTACTTTATTTAAGAAGTACAGGGCAGTGAGTGATCACCTTACATGGCTCCTCAGGTAACCTTAGCACACAGCCCAGGGGGAACCACATGGCACCCATCACATAGTCAAGGAGACAGAGACCCAGAGGGTGATGCTGTGTCAGATTAGTGAGTGGTGGTGCCAGGGTGAGGTGGCCCAGGGAACCCTGAATCTGCTCTGCCACCATACTCTAAACCTCCAGGATGCTAGAGAGCATGACACAGAAAGCTGCCCTCATCATAGCTCTGCTGCTGTATGAGCTTGGGGACCTCAGAAGCCTGAAGTTCTCTGGAGTGCAGCAAGAAAGAAAAAAATCAGCCACAAAACTGTCTGCTAAGTGAACCTGTGTGCTGCACAAAATACTTCCAGAATGCCATCAGGAGCCAGGAAGATTGCCAGAGATAAAGGGAGATTGCAACCCATTAAAATAATGGAAAACGATCTGGTCCCGACATCAGTGAGGTCACTAGCTGTGAGTGGCAGGCAGTGTGTCGGGAGACACAAAGTCCCCCAGCCTACCTTGGGCTCTTGGTGAGAGCTGGCATCTAGACCCACAAGCTGGCAGTGCACCAGGAGAGTCAGACCTGGAGTGAAGGCGCTTCCTGGAAGAGGCCAGTGCCGTGGCCAAGGCCAGACAGGACAGGGCAGGGACATGATGGGTTCCATGCAGAGTGAGCACAGGTATGGTCCAGGGCTTGGTACTAGAAAGCTTCCTGTTGGATTTTTTTCCCAGTAATGAGGACTGCAACCAGGGTCTTAAATGCTCTGCCACTGAGCTACATCCTCAAGACTTTTTTCATGTTCTTTAAAATTTTTATTTATTTTGTAGTATTGGGCCTTCACACTGAATTATATCCCTACTTCTTTTTAAATTTTTTATTTTGAGATAGGATATTGCTAAATCACAAAGGCAGGGCTGGAATTTGCAATTGTCCTGCCTTAGCCTCCGAGATTACTGGGATTACAGATGTCCACCACCATGCCCAACCCTTTTTATGTCCCACTTTGAGACATGGTCTTGCTAAGTTGCTCAGCCTTGTCTCCAATTTGGAATCCTCTTTCCTTAGCCTTCCAAGTAGCTAGGACTGTAGACATGTACCACAGCACCTTTAGGTTCTGCTATAATATCATTAATGAGGGCCAGGGATATCACTCAGTGGCACAGTGCCTTCCTGGCAAGCGCAAGGTGCTGAGTTTGATTCCCAGTATCAAAAAAATTATCATTAATTCTTTTGTCCTTGGCTTAAGTAATGTGTAGATTAACAACAAAATTGTGCCAGCATTAAGTATTTGTGAATCTAATTATGCCTTAATTTATTATTATTATTTATTTTTTTTTTTTTGGTCTTTTTGAGACAGGGTCTTGCTATGCAGCTTACGCTGGCTTTGGGCTAATTGTAGTCCAGGCTGGTTTTGAACTTGCAAGGATCCTCCTGTCTCAACCTCCGAAATGCTGGGATTACAGGTGTGCATCACCACACCTGACTTAATTTGTAAAGATTCATAATTATGTCTTCAGGGTTTGGTAAACAAGAACTGGTGTGGACACTACACCACTGACAAATGAATAAGAAGGCTTCAGCCTATACAGCTCATCCCTGGGGCTGAAGCCATGACTCTACCAATACTGGTATAGAGCTGAGGCTCAGGCAGGTGGGGAAAGTTATCTAAGAACTCCAAGTGAGCACACAGCAGTGCAGATTCCACCACGGTCTTCACTAATCCACACCGCACCCAGGAGCTGCCATGCTAAGTTGGGCACACTACTTTTGTTTATTTAAAAAGTTTTCTACAAAGAAGACCAGAAAGGTGCAGACAGAAGCAAATGGAGGCTGTGAAGGGCAGGTATTCTTCACCATAACCCCTAAGCTCTGCTCAGAGCCAGAACTCCACTTGGTGCCACTTCTGCAGGGGCATGGCCTGGCCTGGAGAAGAGGAAACCATTCCTGTATTCTGCACAAAACACAAGTGAAGCCAGGCATGGTGGTTCATGCCTGTCATCCCATCACTCAGGAGGCTGAGGAAGGAGGATTCCTGTGAGTTCGAGGTCAGCCTGGGCTACACAGTGAGACCCATCTCAAAAAACAAAAACAACACAACACAACACAAGTAAAGATCAATCAGAAAACCACAGCATTCTCTCAAAAATGACTTGGTCATGGAATAGAAGAGAATGACTTCAGAAGACAACTTCATTCGGAGGAGAGCTGACTGGTGGGTCCTGCAACCCAGTTCTTCTAACTACCTCCCAGGAGAGGTATCCTACAGGTGCCAGGAAGGAGTATGGTCACCAGCTGCTACCTGGGTCATTAGGCTCCAGCTGTCTGTCTCTGTGACATCACCTACTCCCCTGTGGGATGAAAGCCAGGCTAACTCACATGTCACCTCCACGAAGTGAGGTACCAAACCCAGAGACACTCCAAGGTGAAATGCCTGAGGATGTGGAGAGGATGTGGCATGGTACAAGAGGTACCAAAGAGGACCCCTGTGGTCCACGTGGTGGGGAACCCAAATGTTCCTATCTTGTGAGGCCACAGCCCACCCTGCTCCCCTGGGCCTGACTCCCTGGATCTGAGTGACAACCAAAAGGGACACACATTCCCCTAGCCCACATCTCAGGCCCAGGGCTCTCAGGAGTTCCCATGCAGCCACAGAAGCCCAGATGGACAAGGCACTCTCAATTCTGGGGAAACATGAGCTGGTCTTGACCTTGGGAAGACACCCATGCTGCCTCTCAGAATCACCCCCTTGCCTACTCACTGGTCTGCCGCATGGTGTCATACCTGCAAAGTCACTTGCTGCTGTCCTGCTGAAGGCCTAAAGAGACATCTGCCCAGGGGACACTAGGGAGCCACTAAAATGAACACAGTGTCTTTTGTGCTATATTGATCCAAGACTCAACCTTGGGAACAAACAGCCTAACTGTAGCCCTAGTTTAGGAGCTGCATCCTCAGAGAGCTGGTGCATAGAAGTGTTTAGGTAGTGGATGCCTGACCTGAAGGAGGCTAGGTGGCAGGGATGCAGGCCTCTTCAATGATGGCCAAGAGGGCACAGGAGAACACTACAGAGAGTGTGTACCCCCATTGGTGGAGAGGGGTTTAGAGATCCAGGGCATCTGGGAGTCAAACACTTTACCTGGCTTTGAGCACCAAATTGTTGCCCTCTTGAGCAAAAGACATCCATGCCACCAAGGTTACTGCAAGGATTTGATGAAAATGTACCTAGTGTCTAACACATAGTAAGTTCTCCATAAATGCTTGCCATGGAAACAATTTTAAAACTCAGTAGGGCCAGTGCCAAGCATCCGCCTGCAGGAGAGTCACTCTGAGAAACCACAGGAGTCAGAAGTCCCGTGTTTGTTTAGCAAACAGAGAGCTCTTTGGGTCAAAGTGACTCAGGTGTGTCCTGCCACCACCTCTACCTCTGCAGTTTAGAGTTTCACTTCCGCATCCTCTCATTAGCCAGCCAGGCGGTGGCTAATCAAGCTGAGGTAGTAGCTCCATTCTCAGAAACACTTACCACCTACATGGGACATTGTCCCCTCTCCAGGCAGCAGGCTAAGACCTGAAAGAGACCCAGATAAGGGGTAGGAAACTCTTGGACATTCGCTGTGCATTCCTCACAGGCCTGGTTTCCTACTCCTGCTGAGTTCCACAGCCAGTCCCAGCCTGGCAACAGCAGCAACCCCCTTGAGCTTCCCAGGGAGGCACTTACGTGCCTGTCTCACAATGGCTTCCCATGGGTAACCCCAGTCTACCAGACTCAGAAAGGGTGGTGACCTTCCCAGTACCACCCTACTGAGACAGCCCTCCACTAGCCTTGTTCAGGCTGACTCTGGATCCCATCGCTGCCCTTCTTGACCTCTCTGACCCAAGAGTCATTTGGCATTAAAGCAAGAGCTGGGGGACCAGTCTTTAGAGCTATGATCCAGGGAACCCCAAACAGCAGATCAGCTGTGTGCATAAGACATGCAGATTCCCAGGTGAGACTGACTCAGGTGGGACCCAGTGATCCACGTTTAACACCCAGAGACACTGACAACCCCCAAGGGTGACAGTTTTGGAGGAATGGGCACTTGAACTTGCCTAAGGACCTGTGGTTCTGGGCAGCTTTGGAACAGATTCCTGGGCCCTGAACTGGAAGATGGGGAGGCTAGATGCTGACGGTAAAGTCAAGTGTTCATGCACTCCTGCCAGCCTCTGCCCTTTCTCCTCACCCCCTAAGCTGTCCTTGCTCTAATCACCAGAGCCCACAAATGTTATGATATGGTGAAAGGGGAATCTAAGGCTGAGAAGATGGTTGCTGGTGATCGGCCAGAAGGTGAGGATGGCTCAAGGTTCTGGATTCTTAAGCTGAGGAGAATAAATGCACACTGCTTTAAGTCAGCAAGTTTGGGGCCTGGGCTCAGAGGCAGAGTGACTGCCTGGCAAGCACCCAGCCCTGAGTTCAACTCCCAGTACAGGAAAAAATAAAAAAGCAGCAAATTTGTGGCAATCTTTTTTGTAGAAGCCACAGAAAATCCATGCACTCTTTTTTGGGGGGGTTCTAGGGATCAAACTCAGGGCCTTGTGCATCCCAGGCAAGTTGTCTACCACTGAGCTACACCCTACTCTCTCCTCCCCAGGAAAGTCTAGGAGGCAAATACACCAGAATAAGCAAATCCTCAAGAATGGGGAGGTGAGGTGAAGGTGATGCTAGCACTCCCTTCAGTGGCCTGAAACCCACACAACATGCCTTATTATCAGGCAGATGCTTCTAGGCAGCCCTCCTTCCTCACCAGCCTCAGCTTTCTCTGGGGCCAGATCTCTGAGGGGTGAGTTAGTGATCCTAGTTAAATCTCAGAGGATTTGCTTAAATGGGCCATATCCCAGGACCAGACCATCCTGTGAAGTGGTAGGCTGCAATGCAACCACCACTTCAGTGACCCTGTGCTGAATTGGAAAGTCAGTTCTGTCCAAAAGGGCAGAGGAGCCATTCTTCATGGACACCAAGACAGTCATAAGGAAGGACCAGGGCTGAGAGGTAGCACAAGGCACACAGAGAACCCATACCTGGTCCCTTACAGTGAAAGCCTCCTCCCAGACATACAATGCAGGGCTGGGCAGGCTGGAACAGGACACACACTGGAGTGTCCAGGGATGCCAATCCAGACATAGTGTCCTAGAGAGAAACACAGGAAGGACTGTCCTGTAGTGAGCCTTGATCTGGGAGACTAAACCAGGAAACCCCAATCTATAGATCCTCCCAGCTCACACTCGTACCATGCGCGCAGCAGCCAGCACTTGCCACACCATAGAGGACTCACCCTGACCTTTGGTTCCCCTTTTCTGCAGGGAACACTTTGGACAGGACCCAGTAACCATCAAGAAATGTGGGAGGAAGCCAGGCATAGAAGCCTATGCCTATAACCTCAGCACAGCACTTGGGTCGCTGTGGCAGAAGGATCGAAAGCTCTAGCCCAGCCTGGGCTTCATAGTGAGACACTGTCTCAGGAACCAAAAGAAAAACAAAACCGAAAAAAAAAAAAAAAAGGCTGGAGATGTAGCTCAGTGTTAAGGTCTGTTAAGGCAAAACAAACCCAAATAACAGCAACTGAAACAGCAGCACAGGGAACCAGCAGTAGGGACAGACCAACCCTCAGAAGCCAGGTCCCACTTTGCTCCCAGTGGCATTGGGTCTGGGGACAAGGAGCATGTGTCCACATCTGGAACAGATGGTTGCAGTAACGGCAGTGGACCACAGCTATGCTGCCTGTCCTAGGCGTGGTGGGTTCCTCCCCAGTGTCCCCTGGTTCCTGGGTTTGGGCCATTAGCTGGAGTCAGGAGGAGAAAGACAACTGCAGCTTCCCTGTGTGCTCAGTCCAGTTCCAGGAAGAACTGGGAACTCGGGATGCAACCAAAGTAGTGCTGGGAAGGCCTAGAGTCCACATGGCATAAGGTGGAATTGGGGGCTGGGGTGGGGGCCACCCTTGGAGCCAGACACAGGCTGCCAGGGTCTCATGGCCAGGCTGGGGCAGAGCTCAGTGTCAGAGCCCGTGTTTAGCACATATGAGGCCCTGGGCCATTTCCAGGGCAAAAAGAAAAATTTGTCCAGAGAGAAATAATTAAAATTCTGTGTATGAGTGAACACAGGCAGAGTTAAGGGACGAAAGGAGAAGAGCATGACCCCACTGCAACTTATAAGGACAGCAGACCCCTACACCACAGGGGGAAGCCACCAGCACGGCAACCAATCCCTGGAGGACAGTGGCCAGGGGCCCACAATACCCCAAGAGCACTGCAGGCGCTAACAGCTGAGCTGGTGGGGTCTAAGGATGCAGCCTTGTGTGGAGCAGCACACCCTGATGGACGTGCTTCCCCATTATGAAGTTCTCACATGGCCTCTTAAAGATAATTTTTTTTTTTTGGCTTTTTCCTTTTTATCGGTACCAAGGATCAAACCCACGACTGCCTGCTTGCAAGGCAGGTGCTTATGCCACTGAGCTAAATCCCCAGCCCCAAAGATTTCACATCTTAACATGCTTTCCATTTTTCCACTTAAATAAAAGAAAAATAAAATAAAGCTTATGACACATAGCTATAATCCCAACACTCAGGAGGCTGAAACACGAAGACTATTGGAGGTTCAAGGCCAGTCAGCACTACACAATGACTTCAAGGCCAGCCTGAGCTACATAGCAAAACCCTGTCTCAAAAAGACAATAAATAAATGAAAAAAGCTTCCAAGCAGGCTATAAAGCTAGGAAGGCTTCTTCTCCTTTGCAGCACTAGGCATTAAACCCAAGGCCTTCACAGTGAGCTACATCTCCAGCTCATCAAGTTGCCCAAGCTGGCTGAAACTTGTGATCCTCTTGCCTCAGCCTCCCAGAGCACTGGGATGACAGCTGCACCACCATGCCCAGCTGGTGCCCAGGTGGTGCATTTATCACTGCCTAGATCAACCAGACTTTGGGAACAGGATAGGTACAAAGGGCCCAATGCCCAGTAAAGCATATTCAGAAATTCAGCTGGCATCAATGACAGACCAAAGTGCTGATGAGGGTGATGTGTATCTTTTCTGACTGTGACTTACAGGAAGCAACAATGTACATTTCACACCAATTACTCAAGCCCTAGAGAATGCTAGGCCACCCCTGGGGCTAGAATTATAGCTGATTCAGAAATTCAAGAACAGAAGAGCAGGGGTCAGGGATTTAGTTCAGCAGTGTTAAGTGCCTGCCTGGCAAGCTCAAGGTAGTGAGTTCAATGCCTAGTACTAAAATAAAAACAAACAAAAAAACAGAAGAGCAAATTCAGCTCCATATACTTTTCTTAATTCTCAAAGAGGTAGCAAATCCCTGTAGTCCTAACACTCGGCAGGCTAAGGTGGGAGGATGACTTAAACCTATGTGTTCAAGACCAGCTTGGGAAACAGAACTCATCTAAAAAAAGGTTGAAAGTCATAAACTAGTTACCTAAGACATGTGTATGAACCAAACCTGTGACTATGTTGAATACAAAATAAAATTTGGCTCCTTGGTGCCATAGGTTGGTACCACTCCCTCAAGATCAACAAAGCATCCCCCTCGGATCTGACAGCCAGGAACTGCCGCTGGGCTGCCTCCTGAGGCCTGGAGAGATGGAGGACCCACACCCCAAGGAAGGCCTAGCCTAAGGCCAGAGCCTGGTGGGTTCTTCATCTCGAGGGCTGGTGTGGTCTAGGAAGGAGTTTCAAATGGAAGCATGCACAGGCTGATTCCTGGCCTCTGCCCACGGCTGCCCCCTGAAATCTGCCCCTCTCCTCCTTGGCCTTGGAAATACAGGGTACCAGAGTGGTTCAAACCAATCCAAAGTTTGTTGCTTTTTGAATCATTGGTCAAGCTCCAGCTTCCGCTTACTTGAGCATCAAGTGGGAATAATACCGTAAGGCCCTACACAGCATTTTCCCACTGATGTATTAGTGCAAAACAAAGCAACTTGAAAAGTTCACAGCAGGGTGTGGAGGGTGAGGCACCAGAGCAGGCAGAGAAAGCTTAGGAGAGAAGGAACTAGAATTGGGTGCCCTGCTGTCTGTCCAGGAACCCGCTCAAGAAAATGTCTAAACCCATGGCCCTGGAGCTGGAGATAGGCCAGCTTTGCTCAGCAAACACACAACTGCCTTTGTACTCCCAGCGAGTATCAACTTCTGGGTAATAGCACTGAGTGCCATACACACTAGCACTTCGGTTCTCTAGGGAAGAACTAAAAAAAAGTAAAACGTGAAACTCAATACTCTGAATAGACTTTAAAACCTTCCAAGGGCTTTGTCTCTGGTTCTCACTGATGGTTTACATCAGAAAAAGCAGGCGGTCCTCTGGATGTTACACATTCTCGTCTCCTCTCCACTATGCCCAAGAATCCAATTCAGCTCTTTTCAGCCCGGGTTCCCAGGCGGGCACACCCTGCCCCCAACAGCCTGGAGACATTTGTGTCCTTTCTTGCCTCCGGACCTGCGGTGTCACTGGCAGAGGCGTACTCTGCACCCAGGGGCCCTGCGTGAACTGCAGTTTGAGTGTCACAGACCCCAAACCAGGAGCACTCGCGTCAGATAGCCAGAGCTGGAACTGAGAGGCCGAATGCGGGGTGCTCGGTGCTCGACCCCAGTCCCTGAGCGAGGCCGGGGCGGAGGAGGGCGGCTGGTCCGGAGGTCCGGAGACACACGCAGGGCGGGAGGTTGGGCAGGAAAGGAAGTCCCGGTGCGCCAGTAGGGCCGAGGTCGCGCCCCCGCCCGTCGCCGCCCCGCTCACCCGGCTCCCGCCGCGCGCCCACCGATCCGTCCCTGCGCAGCAGGATGTCCGCCGTGTCGCGGATGCGCCGCCTGCCTGGCGCGCCCCGCAGCCCGCGGCAGCCCTGAAAGCACACAGCCCAGGCCTGCTCCTCGTTGATGGGCTGCTCGTACACCTTCAGCACCTCCTCCAGGGACAGCTCCCACAGTTCGGCCCGCGCCGCGCCCCCCGCGCGCTCCGGGGCCGCCGCGCCGCTCCCCAGTTCCATGGCCGCCCATCATCGCCGCCCGCGCGCGCCGCGGGTTCCCATCGCTGCGCTGCTAGGCCGGGCGCGGGGCGGGCCCTCGCAGCGGCGTGTGACGTCATCGGACAGAGGGGGAGGAGCACTGCAGAGGGGCGGGGCGGGGCGCGCAAAAATTTAGGCTGGGGAAGCTGGAGAGGTTGCGCAGCGACGGAGGGTGGAAGGGCCCTGGGAGGGCAGACGGGAAAGGGCTTAGGGGTCAGACCCGGGACGGAGGAGACTTAGCACCGAGTCTCACTCCTGGACGCTGGGCCACCCCACCCCACCTCCCGGGGCAACTTGGCGACCACCGGTGCCCAGCTTACGCCGGCATGCTGGCCGAACACAGTGTAGTGATTGTGAGATCTGGGCTGTTGGATGCCGGGTGGAGGCCCGAGGAAGACAAGGAGCCTGTGGGCCTCACCCTGTCACCCATGATAAGGTCAGAGAGACAGGTCACGCCTTGGAGGTCGCTGGAGGGCTGGCGGCCAGGGCGACCTCCGGAGGTTGTTGTGAGGTAGAGTTTGTGCGACACTGGCGGGCAAGTAGAAAGTATTTCTAGCAGAGGACTCTCCACCCGGTGGCCGCAGGACACCTCTGTTCCTTTTTTCCAGGCTGCCCATGCCTGGCTCAGAGGTGGTGCAGGTCAGGCTGCTCCTAAGCTTAGCAGGGTTCGTATGATGCCACAGTTGTGCTATCTCAGAATTACATGGCAACAAAATGTCATTGGGCAAGAAGTGGCAGCAAAGCTATGGGTGACCGGCGCAGCCCCAATGAAACAGGACACAGGAGATGCTCTTGTGGACGACAGTTAACTGCTGGTTTATTTACCTGCGGGCTCTGGTTTATATATTTGGCCGTGACCAATCACAGGCTGCCACGAGGAAGCAGGGCGGAATGGTACGCAGGCTCTGGCTACTATATCCAGCTGTGGCCAATCAGGAGTTGCCACAGAGTATGGAGTGAGCACGAAGTGTGCACGGGTTGGCTAATTTAAAGAGGGAGGTAGCGCATTGCGGAAGCTGGCGTGGTCCTTACTCCTGGGTGGGGTATGGTATGTTGAGCGCCTGCGCCCAACACATGGGTCCCAGCTAGTGCAGATTCCCAGGTTGGGAGGCTGGAGATCCTACCAGATCTGGAATGAGACTGGGGCCCTGAAGCTCTCTGATGATATGGTGGCATCTGAGTATGGGAACCACAGGATAAGGTGTCTCACCTTTCTAAAGACTTGGACCTCAGGGCTGGGGGTTTAGCTCAGCGGTGTAAGTGCCTGCTTGGCAAGCTCCAGGTCGTAAGTTTGATCCCCAGTACCAAAATAGAATAAGACTTGTGACTCTCTTGGATTTCTAACCTTCCTACAGAAAGGAGTTTGATAAAGTGAGTTGTGTCTTATGTTGCTATAACTACTTGCTGGGCACATTCCCTATATTTCCCCAGTTTCTGAGTGTAAGTATGGCCCCCACAAGATACCAGGAGTTTATTTAATTTTTAATTTAATGTAATTTTTTTAACTTTTAAAAAAAAATTTATTATTTTGAAGGTACAACAGAACAAGACGGAACAAAGCCAATTTAGACAGTGTAGTGAAATTGGTACAGAACTTCACAGCAGGTTACCAGGATAACAGTAATAGGTACCACAGTATATCTCGTTATCTTCACAATAGTTGTTCTTTCAGTCAGGTCTAGCAAAATAAAATACAGAACATTATAGAACTTATCAAAACAGGACATTGAATAGAGCAATACCATTAATCAGAATAAAGCAGAACAGTGGTAAAAATATTTGCCTTCAAAGAGATGATAGAAGGAAATCCCCCTTATTTGCTGTATTGCATATGGTCAGTCTCCCAAGAGATGCTCATATCTCTGGCTCCCATTTGTTAATGGGGGTGGGGGGAAGTGGAAATTTGATTCTCAGCCTGTGTACTGGTAGGCTCACTATTGCTTAGCAAGGAAGTGAGCTGGTTACTTGGTTTCCCAGCGCCCTAAGTTCCAATATGGTGCAGGTCTCAGGAGAGGCTGGTGGTTCTCCCCCTGGGAGGGCCACAGCTTGCTGAGTCACAGCTGCTTACCAGGTGGGTGAGCTGGTTGCTTGGTTTCCCAGCACCCTAAGTTCCAACATGGGGTGGACCTCAGGAGATGCTGGAGGTTCTCGCCCTGCGGTGGCAGCAGTCTGCCACACCACAGCCACTTACCAGAGAGGTGAACTGATTGCTTGGTTTCCCAGTGCCCTAAACTCCAACATGGCTTAGATCTCAGGGGACGCTGGCGGTTCTCTTAATTTTTTTTATAGGTCCTGGGGATCGAACTTACGACTGCCTGCTTGCAAGGCAGGTGCTTATGCCACTGAGCTAAATCCCCAGCCCCCTTAATTTTGTTTTGAAGGTAGTAAAAATACAACACAACAAGACAGAACAAAGCCAATAGAGACAATGCAGTGAAATTGGTACAGAACTTCACAGCAAGATACCAGGATAACACTAATAGGTACCATAGTATATCTTATTATCTTCATAATAGTTGTCCATTCAATTAGATATAGTGAAATCAAGCAAAAAAAGAACATTATAAAAGCAATCAAAAGGGGCTGGGGGTTTAGCTCAGGGGCATAAGCGCCTGCCTTGCAAGCAGGCAGGCATGAGTTCAATCCCTGGTACCGATAAAAAGACAAAAAAAAAAAAAAAAAAAGCAAGGCATCTTCCCAAGACATGCTCAGACCTCTGCCCTCAATTGCTAAACAGGGGGATGGGATGAGATGTTTGATTTTCAGCCAGTAGGTTCACGGGAGCCACTGAATGGTTCTCCAGACTTGTGCCAGGGGTGCTTACCAAGAGGGCAGGTGAATTGCTATCTTGTTCAGCTGCCTAAGTTCCACCATGGCCAGATTTTGGGAACTGCTGACCGGTTCCTGAGGACAGGAATTTAAAGAGGCAGCCACAGCAGGAACCTTGTGAAGTAGGAATCTAGGAGATAGCAAAGTGGCTGGATCAGTTGGAGCATGTAGGCATGTGGAAAAGACCTGTCAGCCACAGGTGCAGAGCAGAGCTCCTGAGCTTGACTCAGATCAAGCCAAACCCTGCACTTAGTGCCAATCTTTTTGACACAAGAACATGTAGAAGCTGGCACTTGATATCAGTCATCTAGCATGAGATCAGGAGATCAAGCAGGAAGGCAGAAGTTCCAAGAGAGCAAGGATCAACTGTCAAAGATGATTTTAAAAAGGATGTATTCAATATGTGGTAATCATGATTCCCCATTAGGTGGCCTTGGAGCCTTATAAAGTTTTCACTCATTAATTAGAAAGGCTTTATTCTGGGCTTCTTGATTTGAAAAATATTTGAAGCTAGAGTATATGAAGTTTTATCCAAATATTTCAAGGAAAAAGACACTATGGTAACTACTATTAAGTCAGGTTATATGGTGGTGAAGTACTAGGTTGTTGAAACAGTCATGCTGTGACCTCTATTGTTATATTGTTATGTCCTGTTTTATCTCAATCTCCCCCTTATTGTTTTAAAAAAATTAGTCATTTCTTATGTTTGTCTTAATTAAAGAAAAAATTCAAATAATTAGGATATATAAATAATAACTCTTTTTGATTTCCTATTAACTTGTTTTGAAGTCCTGTAGTACTCCCACGATCTTGTTTTGACTGATTAGACTCTGTTCCATTCTATATGGTAGTATCAAGTTTGAAGACATAGGCAACTACTTTGAAGACAATAAGATTCACTAAGATACCCATTCTGGTTTGACTATTGTCTTCTTTGGAAGTCCTGTAATGTTTACAATGCCTAAGTTGTATTGGTCTTGTTCTCTACTGTTTTGTCCAACTTTATAATATCTAATGAGATAGACAATTCTTTTTAAGGAAACAAAGGACAACGTTGATAACCATAGTTGATAAACTTGTACTGTGTTCTACACCATGTGCTATGTCTATCCTTGGTATTGACTGACAGCTTTGTTTTGCCATATATGACTGTATTCTCCCCCCCCCTCCCCAAAAGTAATAAGCACTAAGGAGTAATGAAAAAAAAAAAAAAAAAAAAAAAAAAAAAAAGGATGTATTCAAAGCTTACTAAATCAGTCCAGTGCTTTAAGCTGCTAGATACAGCTGGGCCCTGGTATGGTTGATGATCCTTGCTTGGTACAGTGACAAATTTCACCAATTGATAACTGAAGTCAAGGTCAAAATACGGCCAGGCAGGGTAATACATGCCTGTAATCTCAGCATCAAGAGGCTGAGACAGGAGGATTGCTGCAAGTTCAAGACCAGCCAGGACTACCTAGTGAGTTCAAGTCCAGATGAAATTACAGAGCAAGACCCTGTCACAAAACAAAACAAAACAGGGCTGGGGATTTAGCTCAGTGGTGTAAGTGCCTGCCTGGCAAGCACAATTTACCCCAGTACCGAAAAAAAAAAAAAAGACAAGCATTTTCACCCAGTTGAGAAAATGACACCAGGGGTAAAACACTTTATTGAAGGAATATTGGTTCTTTCATAACTTGAACTTGTCAGGAGGATTTCAGAAATCATAGTTTATTTCCAGCTGTTAATAAGAAACTCAACAGTACACTGCAGTAGAAATTGCTATAGGTCAATCATTAACCCAGCTTGAAAGGCTTTGGGCCAAGACTATTTCCACAGTTATGTGATCATCTGTAGTATATTTATTTCTAGAAGGCTGGGAAATTGCCCTGGGGGATAGTGACTATGCCATTCTGCTTGAGGACAGACCTGAATTGTTTAGTTCAGTGATTAATCCACCAGTGCTTGGTTTGGGTAATGACTATGTTAAGTTATCATACTTGCAAAGACACACATATTTATCTTCTGGTGCTGTCCACTCTTTTTGTTCATAGAGAATGGGCATTGCTGTCTCAGCCTGGGGAAGACTTGCCCCTCTGCTCCTAGGGGAAGCCAGAGCCACATAAGGGAACAAACACGGCCATTCCAGGTAGGCAAGAGTCACCCATGCTCAGTGCACACCAGGAACTCCACTGGTTGTGATTTTTTTCCATGTTCTTTTTGTTACTTTGAAAAAATACTCATGAGAACGCCT